CCTGTCCCTTACCGTCACCAGCACGCAGTGCAGGTCCGGGGGCTGCTCGGCGCCCTCGCTGGCCGCGGGGCCCGCGTCGGTCTCCAAGAGCAGGAGCTCCGCCAGCCGGCCCGGGTTGCTGACGCGCAGGATGTTGATGTCGTTCTCGCAGCAGAACGCCTGGATCAGAGTGAAGTGGATCTGCAGAGCCACATCCCTGTCGTCGTCCTCGTCCGCCGCCAGCAGGCACAGCACCACATTATCGGGGTCGCTGGGGGCAGCGGGCAGGGCCGGTGAGCGAAGAAGCGCTGGCGCCCGCAACCCCTGCCCGGGTCCCCGGGGGTCGCCGCCCGGCCCGCTTGCTCCCTCCCCGCCGGAGCAGGCAGCCACGGGGGCAGAAGAAAAGCGACAGGAAGTGGCGCGGCCGGGCGAGGGGAGCCCCGCCAAGGCGACCTCTCGGGCTGGTGGGGGAAGGGTGCCACCGGGGACGCGCAAGGGCCCCACTTACACGTTGAGCAGCTTGGCCGCCTCGTACACCCCGACAGTGATCGTGCGCTGACTCAGGGCTTTGCTGAGCACTTCCTCCAGGGCATCCCCCACCTTGTCCATCCTACATGCGGGCAAGGGCGAGGGGTCCCGTCAGCCCCGGTGCCCTCGGGGCCGTTGCCGGCCCCCTCGCCCGGTACCACGCCCCTCCCTCTCGAATGCAAGCACCACCGCGCACCTGGGCTCTCGGCAAACCCGGAGCTCCGGCGGCCCCGTCACCCCCGATGACCCCTGCACGCCCAAGAACCGGGCGTCCCGTGGGAAGTCCCGAGAGTGCCCCCGCCACAGGCTGCCAGCCGCGGGAGCCGCACGGGCAGCGACGGCCACTGCTGCCCTTTGCAAAGACCCCGGCGGGGCTAGTTCGGGTTGGGGGGCATGCTCTTTCCGCTCCACGGAGAGTCTCGAGGGAGCAAGGGCGAGAGTTGCCCCGTGCAAACTTTTCTGCTCGCTCACCTGCAAGCCTTCCACCGCCCGGCTGCACCGGGGAGCCCGGGGTGGGTGAGAGAAGTTTGGGCCGGAATAGTCCGCAGGCCGACTTACCTTTCGGTCTTCTGCTCTCCAGCCGAGAATTCCTCCAAAGTCATATTGCAACTGCAGGTCGCCCACGGAGAGAGCGCGGCGTGCGGGCTGCTCCGGCCACGGCGAACGCGCGGGCGCCTGCTTTCTGCACTCGCTCACAGGCGTCGCGCGGAGAGCTCAGGCCCCGGCGCTGTCCGGCCGCCCCTCGCCCACCCCGGCTCCTCCTCCAGTGTCCGCCGCCGCCTCTCTGGCCACCCCTCCCGCCTGGCTGGCTCGCTCGCTCGCTCGCTCTTCGACCCTCTCCTCTCCGATGGCCACACGACAATAATTGGGCAGCTGCCTCCCAGCCACAGCCTCCCAGCCACTGGAGGACAAAGGGCCCGGCTCGCCGGAGTTATCCTGCCGACCCTCAGCCAACCACCTTCCGCCTCATTTGCATGCAGCTTGGCCATTGGGCTATGCAAATCAGTCTGCTCCGGCAATTTGACTCCAGCTCCTGGAGTCAGGTTGAGACGAGCGGAAAAGGGAGGAGCCACGCTGGAGGCTAGCCGAAGCGGGTGGCTGGGGTGGGCGCGGTGCAGAGAGGGGTTGGCGGGTCCCGCGGGCTCCCTTGTCCGGTTGGCGGGGGCCATCTGGAGTGGAGGGCTTCAGCAGAGGCGGGAGGTGGCCTCAGCTTGGGCTGAAGCAGGCTGCCAAGTGTTTGTCTATAATAGTTGCTGCACTTTTTTCTTATTATCGTTTCATGCCTTTTGTTTTAAGGGGTGGCTACTAAAATCTATTTCCAGGGTTAATGCACCGAAGTCTGGTAATTATTAGTAAGCAGGTTACATTAAAACAGTGTCTCCAGACCTCTGGGGCAAAGTTTACCTCATAAGTGTTGTTTATCTAAGTCTAGGCGAAGCTGCTTATTAGTAGTAGTATTATTTCGGTGCCCTGATGGCTGGTTTGATTTATTTTTGGAAGGCTGCAAGGGTTGGAAGCTCAAAAAAGAAAAACCAACCCGTTTGTATTCAGGTATGGCAGGGAACCAAGTTGGAATCTTTTCCACAGAAAGCAGAAAGGTCTCCCACCTGCCCAGTGTAACTGGGAAGTCATGAGCCGGTCTGCGTGGGGAGCTGGTGACCACATGTGGGAATCCCTGGCAACCCAGATTTGCCTTTCTCAAAGAACCCTGCCCAAACAAGGATCCTTCAGGACGCCCACCAGCTCAGAGACAACCATCTGACACCCACGCAGCCCACACGTCTAAATTCAAAGTGCTCTCGCTATGCCTAAGCTCCTTTCCTAAAGTATGTATGTCACCAGCTTCCATAGGGAGCCTATGATCTCACTGTGAATTATTGATGTTAGATGTTGAATCATGAAGCTGTAACTATAGGAAGTTTTTAGTCATATGCTAAAATTTCACCTTTGAGATAATGGCAACTTGTAGGTGGAAAGCAGACCTTTATAACTGCAAATGGTAGTTACACATTTTTGAAAAACCAACTTCAATATATAGATTCTCACTGAGTAGTTCAGAAGTCCCTTCCTTTGTTTTATGGGTTTATGCAATAAATGCAAAACATTTCTTAAGCCTACTGAAGTCACCAAAAGTGGTGAAAATGTCTCCCACATGCTTGTATTCAAAACAGTGCTTGCATTATTAAGGTCGCTGTACAGCCAAAGGTCACAGAAGTAATTTTTTTGCAAAGGTACCTGGGAGTTTTGCACCCTTATGTTATTATCACTCTAGACAAAATATTCTCCAGCTCTGTTGATCTTAATTTGGTTGAAAAGAACAGTGATAGGTTTTCTGGTTCATTTATTTGAGCTGTCATTTTGCACTCATTTTTTTAACTGCGTTCAGCCAGGGACAATCTTTTGAGTAAAGAAATGGTCATGGTCAGTGCATAATTCACCCAAGGATGCTTATATTATCTTGAATCCATGTCTTACATCCTAACATGCGATGTCTTTGTTAAGGAATTCCTCAGCATTGAAATTTAGGCAGGTTACCAAAGCATTTTCAGTTTTGCAGACAAAACCTGAATTACACAATCTAGCCTGAGTCATCATCTGGCGATTGTTAATATGTTCCGTGGAACTCCAAGGTTCTATCCACTAGGCATTTCTTAGAGGTTCTTGGGAAGGAAATATGATCACAGCAAGCTGACAAGGAGTTAGGGAATCATGTGAGTTTCCTGACAGCAAGGACTTCATCAGTTTGGTTTCCTCAGCTTCTAGCACAATACCTGCATTTAGTAGGAACACCGTCAAAGTTTATTGAGTTGAATAGAATCTGAGAGTTAAACAAGATCTCAGAATCCTGCAGTCCTGTGCATCGCATGAATTCTAACATATTCCACATTTAACGTTAGTTCAAAAACATTTTGTCATGTCCTCCTCTATACCAAGAACTTTACAATTCCTGGTCCTTTGCCTTTTAAGAGCTTAGGATCTAATTGGTATGTCCGTGCTTGAACTGGATTTTGGGACAAAATAGTATGCACTGTCATCAGCTAGCTATGCTGAAAGTCCCATGACTTCAGTCATCTGAATGGAGCCTGTAGGACAGTAGAACTCATGTATTGTTCACACCAATTCAAATGAACCACAGTCCTAAAGTGCCCCACCCAAATCAACCATATGCAGTAAAAATGTAGTATCAAATGGTCACTTCTTAGCATAGGCTTAGTCCCCTACTCAAAAAAACTGCATGCTGTATTTGAGTTCATCAGAAAGTTATTTGCCCAAGTATTTTGGGGATTTTCTCTGAGATAAGCTTGGGCTTCCAGTGTGCAAAAATATTCATTTGTCATACTTTCTGACTCAGATAGGTTACATCATTTTCCCTCATTGCTGAGTATACCTAGAATGTTTCATCAGTGATTATCTTCAAAGTTGGGCCTCATGGCTGGGAGTAAAAACTGCATTTAGCTACACAGTTAGATTGCAGTCATACATGAGAATGGGCATAGATGATTTATCACAACTGTTTATTAGTCCTGGAGGGCATTGGTATTCAATGGTAAATCAGAGAAATTTTCCTGTATCAGTATAATATATAGACATATATATATATACATATTTATAATCAATGTAATAACTCTAAGATGTGATGTCATTTTAAAAACCACTATAGGTGACTCAGAACAGTAAGTACACAGGAGTAGGATGCCCTTGTGGTAATGTTTGTAAAGATGCCAAATGATTATATTTGCAAATCATATGGAAATGTATACTCAAGAATTGTTCAATTATTTTAGCACTGCTACCTGCTTTACATATTAAAGATCTTTTTGATATTTTAGTCATGCTTATCCTACAAAGATTCCCACTACTGATTCTATAATGCAGAATTATTCTTTCTTTTAGAAAACAATGCTTTAACATCTAAAAGAAATATAATGTTTACTATTACAGTAGCTCACGCCTGTAATCCCAGCACTTTGGGAAGCTGAGGAGGTTGGATCACTTGAGGTCAGGAGCTTGAGACCAGTCTGGCCAACATGATGAAAACCCGTCTCTACTCAAAATGCAAAAATTACTTGGGGCTGAGCATGGTGGCTCATGCCTGTAATCCCAACATTTTGGGAAACCAAGGCAGGTGGATCACCTGAGGTTAGAAGTTCTAGACCAGCCTGGCCAACATGGTGAAACCCTGATTCTACTAAAAATATAAAAGTCAGCCAGGTGTGGTGGCAGGAGCCTGTAATCTCAGCTACCTGGGAGGCTGAAGCAGAAGAATCACTTGACTCTGGAGGCAGAGATTGCAGTGAGCTGAGATCGCACCATTGCACTCCAGCCTGGATGACAAGAATGAAACTTGGTCTCAAAACAAAACAAAACAAACAAACAAACAAAAACTAGTATAATATCTTAATGCCATCTTTTTTGTGTGTTCAATAAATCCTTACCCTTTGGAAATTCTCTTCAGCTATTAAGAATCATGGTAGTAGTCATGGTATTTTTTTAATTAAAATTGGTTTTAATAAAAGTTTTGGAGACAAATGATTGTAAACTATACACATTCCTCCTCTCCAGCATTATACAGAAAGCTTCCCTTACTCCAATTTGATGCTGCAAAATCATATATGCATCCCAAACTCATCTGTAATTGAAATTTCTTTTTGTAGTATCATTCATTACTTTAACATATCAGAGGAATTTACATAACAGCCTAGAGAACAGAAGTAAGACATAATATGTGCTTCAGTACCACCCATATTATCTATTAAGATCACAATGTGGGCAACAGAGTGCAGAGTCATGGTAGTAGTTCCTTGAATAAAAGAGTTCAGACAGAATCTTCCACAAATACAGGTTTTTGCGGTGTCCAAATCTTGGCAGAGCTGGAATGGAATGATATGAGAACCATAGGGAATCCTTACTTAGACAGATATCCAGAGGCGGCTCCTTTAAGAGAACAGCGGCTTTCCCCTCATCTACAAATTTGGTGAAGAATTGCTCAATGTTCTCCCCTAGCTCATAGCAGGTCCCACGCTTGTCCTGAAGGGTAGAGATGAGCAGGAAGGCTCGGGCCCGCGGCTGACTCCTGGAAGTCTGCTGACAGAGGCTCAACACTGCTGGGACGCCCTTTCCCCGGTTCCTCAGCCCCAAGGCCGGCAAGTGGTGGCTGCTCACCTCCTCCACCTCACAGTGTAGCTTCATCTCGCCCGTAGTCATGGTATTGATTTGAGCTTTGGGCTGGCCACCTTCTGCTGCCACCAGCTGCACACATTTCACCAGCCAGTGGAGGTGTCAGATGAGGAGACTAACTAGAACATTCTTCAAGATCAGTACCCCCATGCCTCCACCTCTCTGTCAGTAAGTGTTTATTAGAAGGCTTCTACCATGAGAGGAATGTTCTAAGAGTCTCTGCTTTGTAGGTGAACCACTGGTGAGGGAGCTAGGTGGTCTGAGTTGGTGACTGGCCACTGTTAGGTTGTTTTTGCGCCTTGAACAGACGTATGAGTTTGCTTTCTTCTCTTCTTTTTTGAGACAGGGTCACCCCTCTGTCATCCAGACAAGGGTGCAGTGGTACCATTATAGCTCACTGCAACCTCGAACTCCCAGGCTTAAGCGATCCTTCTACCTTGGCCTCCTGAGTAGCTGGGACTATAGGCACATGCCACCACACCAGCCTAATTTTTAAATTCCTTAAAGAGACACAGTCTTGCTTTGTTGCCCAGGTTGGTCTCATACTCCTAGGCTTAAGAAATTCTCCCACCTTGGCCTCCCAAAGCACTGGGATTATAGGTGTGAGCCACTGCATCCAGATAATTTGTGAGTTTCCTCTCTCTGAAATAGAAAAGACAATTCTATTCACCCATCAACTTCATTGCAAAGTTTTCTTCTTCCTAACTTCTTAACAGTTCATGCTTATACCTCTTCTCTATACTCACTCTGTTGGTGACCTCATCTGGTCTCATGGCCTTAATTATTTATATGCTGATGACTCCCAAATATATTTCCAACCTGTTCAGTCATCTCTTCTGAACCTCAGTGTTTGTCATTTCTGCATCAATAGAGAGTAAGCATTTTAAACTTAAAATGACAATTGTTACTCTCTTGGTTGTCCAGTCGAATCTGCCTACAATAGGTCAATGGCAATTCCATTCTTCCCACTCTTGAGCCCCCCCCCCCACAAACTTTGGTGTCATTATTGATTCCTTTTTCTCACAACCCACATCAGCAAATCCTATAGGCTTCACTTCAAAATGCTATTCAACCATTTCTCATCACCACTACCACCAGCGTTATCTCCCACCTGGAAAAATGTTAACAACTGACCTCCCTCTACTGTTGCCCTTCCTCTCTTCACCTCCAGCAGCCAAAGTGATCCTGTACATAGTAAGTCAGATCCCCGTCAATTCTTTACCCCAAAAGTTATTAATGGCTTTTTTTTTTCTCAGAGAAAAACCCAAAGTCCTTACTATGGCTTAAAATACCATATAAAATCTATGCCCGTGATGAAAATGTCCTAATATCGATAGTGGTGATAATTCTACAACGCAGTTAATATAGTAAAACCCATTGAATAAAATATTTAGGGTGTGTACAGAATGTGAATTATATCAATAAAGCTGCCATAAAAATCTGATCCCTACTGCAATCTTGTCTTACACAGTTCCCCCATGCTCATTTCTCTCTAGCCATACTGGACCTCCTTTTGCCTCACAGCCTTTGTACTAACCGCAAACTTGGAATGATTTTTCTCCTGATGCGATATTGCTCATTGCCTTTCGGTCCCCTTCCTAATGAAGCATACCCTGCCCATTCTAGTTAAGTTGCAATACTTCTACTCCCTGGCACTACTAATCCCTTAAGCCCTGTTTTTTATTTTTAAAAATGTCATAATCACCTTCGAACATACATATTTTACTTATATACAGTTTGTTATCTGACTCTCCTCCTGCCCACTCCACTATCCAGAAATAAGTTGTATAGGGTAGAATTTTGTTTTGTTCACGGATTGGTCCCTACGTGACTAGAACAGTACCTTATACAGAATGGACGCTTAATAAATATTTGTTAAATCAGATAATGTTGAATGAATAGGTATACAGAATTTAAGATATGATTGATGAATTAGAACATAAGAGTTATAAACTTTGCAGTCTTTTTCGTATATTAGAAAGGAAGATGTCTTGATCAAATACTGTTTTGTTGCTTATATGTTTTTTTCAATCCTCTAAGACATCTGAAAACTGCTTGTAATGTTGGCATTACAGAGGCTTGCGCACCCTTATCTGCGTTCATATTCTTCTCACAGTCCCTCCACCCCCATCCAACTGTTTTTCTTATGGTTTTTCCAGGGGCTATAAACTGGCCCATTTCGTAAGCTAAGAATTTTGACCTGTACCCATCTGTATTGTATACACACATAAAACCCAGTAGATTAAAAGGTGCTTAACTGCCAAGCTTCAAGGCTTGTTCTTTCAATGTAGCATAAAGAGATTATAATGATGAGGAAAACAACCTTGAAAGGTCTTATAAAGGTGAGTTTTGAAGGGGAGATTTAAAAGTAAAGGTGGGTTATGTTGCAGAAGAAACATCCAAGAAACACAATTGGAGATGAACTTAAGGAAATAAAGTAATATTTAGGAGACCGAGAACAAAAGAAAATGAAATAAAAGAGAATAAGAGCATTCTTCACTACTATTTGAACTTCTACCTCTCTCTCTGGCTTCAGTGCTTGTAAGTATTTAATCTTGACTAACTGGAAATTTCTGCCAGTAAAACTTATTCTTTGAAATTGCTTATAAGACTCTTTTTTTGTTCTGTGAATAATATGCATTCTTATATTTCTGTTTGGTCCTCATTTTGGCAATAAAATGTCAGTCTCGAGGTCTGAAAGATATTAAATATTAAAACAAGATCATTTAAGATCAAGCTCTGTAAGACTGTGATCTTTTGAAAAGGGTCTTTGGAGTGCTCATTTCTGTATAGCTGGTCTTAGAGGTGGGCCACAGCCATCCTTGTGTGACAGTAGTCTTTCTGCCTCCCATGTGACTTTGTATTGTAAAAATCCAAAGTGGCCTCATTTTTAGTAACCAAAAAATGCAGTGAACAGCCTGCTATCTGGCTGTCCATTATGAACACTTTACTTCATTGCTTTGCGGAGCATATCAGTTTGTGGCAAAGTGATGGATTGTGTTTAACATTCTGTTGTTGACCTGTAAGGATTTTTGCCATATGTTCCAGCTCATCCCCTTAAGATACAGGAGGGGAAAATCATCTTATTAGTATCACTGTCCACTAAGCAGAAATGTGTCTGAGATTTTGCTTTCTCAGCTGGAGACTCCCTCTTGGCAGGCCGTCCTCCCTATTTTAGGAAAGCATCACCATCAAATACAAGAAGGCCTGTTTATAGGCTTATCTGTTTATGTCGTATATCTGGTCTGCATTTATGGAAGTTTTGAAACGATGCTGTAAAATTAAGACCTATGTGGCTATTTTGCATACATAGTCAACAATGATAAATCTAACTTGATGTCCCTCCAAGAATGTGGCTTGAATGAGATCATCTTTGGCAGGTTGTTGTTGACCCTCTCCATTCCTCAGTTTCCTCATTTGACAAATATTTGTGAACTCTTTTCAATTTTGAAAAGAACTCCCTTTCCCCAAAAGTCATAGCAGGCAAAATTCCCACATTTAGATGGATAAAAGTGGAAGTGCTGTGGCTGCTGTACCCAGATGGCAGTGGGGGAGAAGGTCAGGGATCATTGGCAAGTTTAGTATCCCTCTCACTCCCCTCCCACAACGCACCCCGTAGCCCCTGAGATGTGCATATTGGTCACAATGGGAAACGTCTTGTTCTCTAAGACCCTTCCAGCTCTAACATTTTTTACTTAATACTTTTGTTATTCTATAATTGCTCTATACTTTTCTGCAGTCACTGAAAAACCTCAAATACCTTACTTTACCACAGAAAGAAGTTATTTTTCTGGGCCTTAAAAATTCAATCACCGGATAATGTGTCTAAAGAATTTTAAAAAACATTCATGTTCCTCTGCTTTGATATCAATTTTCAAAAATTTCAATCTATTTTCATAGGTTAGTTGGAGTTACGTTACAACTTGCCTTATTAACCCTTATTTATTGCCTGATTACCAAATACTATGGAGTACGATTTGGCATTGCGTCTTAATAAACAGGTCACACCTGGGAGCCAGCGAGAACTCTCCCATCTGAGGAGAAAGAGCTGCAACAGATGGTAAAACGGCCGAAAACCAGGTGGGGGTCATTGTTTAATGACCATCTGAATTAAGTTTGGTTAATTTGGCATGTCCCTAATTATCCCTAGCAACTGGACCCTCTACTCCATTTTATAAGTTTGGATTTTTATCTTTTATGTAAACTCTCAAAACACATCCATCTGTGATCCCGAAGCTGTATTCACCTTAAATCTAACCACAATGTACACCCTAATTTCTTTGGTTCTAGCCATGAGGCGTCCTTAAACACTGGGTTTGTACAGTGCTCTGCAATTTACTTTTTCTCAGGTTGTCATCTATGATGTGGGCGTTTCCCTTCATTCTTCTCCAAGTTTTAATTAATGAAAAGACACTTAGCATCATTTCCAAAAACCAGAGCTGTCAGAACTTCAACTTACGTGCATCCCTTTAGAAAATTTTCTCATAAAATCTGTGTGCAGCAGTGAGTTGGCTTCCTGAGATGTTTAGAAAATTCAAAGTTGTGCTGTCCACAACACTGTAATAGATTCAAGGACTGCCAGCTCCTTTAAAGACATTTCCTCCCCTACCCTGACTAGACCTTATTTTTGTTTGTTTATTTGTTTTAGGTAGGGTCTTGCTCTGTCACCCAGGCTGGAGTGCAGCGGTGCAATCTTGGTTCACTGCAGCCTCCACCTCCCAGGCTCAAGTGATCCTCCCCTAGGCCTTATTTATTAATAAGAATATTAATTTGTGCTGGGCATGTTGATTTTCGACTATAATCCCAGCTACTCAGGGGGCTGAGGAGGGAGGATCACTTGAGACCATGACATCATGTAAACCAGGAGTTCAAGACCAGCCTAGGCAACACAGTGAGACCTCCATCTCTAAAAAAATTAAAATAAATTTTTAAAATATAAAAAGAAGAAAAAATACTAATTTGTTAAATGCTTACCATGCTTGGCACTATGGTAAAATTTTTATTTACATGATGTCACTAAGCCCTCACAATAATCTATGAGACAGATACTATTATCTTGGTTTTACTAAGTAAGCTGTAGCTTCCTGGAGAGGTTAAGCTAGTTACGAACTCAAAAGACCCATAGCTAAATGGCCAAGGCAAGATGCAAATGCACATCGGTGGGATTGC